ATTACTTTGCATTTATTTTGTTTATGATTATTGCCAGCTGAAGATTTTACTTCGAACCAATTTTATGGAATTTCCAGCAACGTGGCTTTTTAATCTTGAAGTGCATTTATTAACAAACATTTTTAAATTTATTAGAAGAATAGAAAAAAGGAGTTTATAGGACGCGGTTAAGCATGATCAGCTCAGACGTTCTGTAGCACCAGAATTCATTTTCTTTTTTCTTTTATTGCTTAGATCGGTGGATGAGCTCACAGCTCACCTGGTGCTAAGTGGTTACTGAAGCCCAATGACATTTATAACGTAAATGCGCCACCCACCTTGAGATATAAGTTCTAAGGTCTCAGTATAGTTACAACGGCTGCCCCGCCCTTCAAACCGAAACGCATTACTGCTTCACGGCAGAAATAGGCAGGGTGGTGGTACCTACTCGTGCTGACTCATAAAAGGTCCTACCGCCAGTGTAAAATTCCATCGATTTCGCTTTATATTGTCTGGTGCTTCGCTCTGGGTGTGCCGTGAGCTGGTCCACGAGTCTATGTATATCAATAAAACCAGTGACGTGACAGTGATCGGGCTTAGCAAGGTAAGATTAGCATGAGCGGCATCTCTTAACTAATCTTTGAATCCTTTTAAACAACTTTTAAGAGGCAGTGATAAAAAAAAAAAACATTAATATAATTAATAAATTATTACTAATATCTTTTATTTAGGTATCAGTAATATTTCGAAACGCAACGATTGAGACCATTTAATTTTATTAGAATTTGTAGTGTTGTTATTAAATTTATTCAAGCGTTAGACTTTAAACATAAGACATTCCACATTTCATAATTAGCGACTGCAAGTTTAGCTGCACATTTTAATTCACCTCGGCCACTGTCAACGTTTTCAGTACTAGTTACAGATCTCGTATAGTGCGCGCGGAAGGGCTAGTCACCTTCTGAAGTATGTGGGGGGGTGAGACAGGGGAGGGCGTAGATCTATGGGAGGGCGCGATGGATAAGACGCACACGATATAATTAAGTGCAGATAAATCTCAGAATAACATGTTAGAATTAATGTAATGGGTACCTAATTGTAATATTTGTTTTTTCTATTTCCTGGTTAAACAAAAAAAGCATATTCAAAAGTGTTTATTATAAATTATAATTCACGATACAAAACAATTTTATGGGCAAATTAACATTTCTCAATAAGTAAATAAAAAAAACACTATCACCGTTATAGTACTTTATAAAAAAAAACATCAAACAAACTTAAAAAAAAAAATTTCAACGAACACTTTATTTTACGCTTTAAGTGGTTCTATGCAGGGAGTTGTCATTGCATGATTTTTTTAAGTCGGTTAAAAATTTATCCATATCTTCTTCATTACTAGACATGTCTTCAATTTCCATACCCTATTGTAGAATGTGTCGTTCAAACAATGACATTGCAAAGATCCATCCCTTGATTTGTTTGCAAACAAATTAACTAGTACCAAACTTCCATTAGTTCAATATTAAACTGTCTGTTATGTCTCTTAACATTATAAGAGAAAACCATGGGCAAAACTCAATAAAAAAAAACTCTCTTAAGTCATTTACTAAGTAACGAAACCCATAATGATTCTTTGTTACCCAATCGCGTTTTTGTTCGGAACTCGATCGACTTTCGTCTGTATGATTGTTGATATCCGGGAAGATTTCATTCAAGCCCCGCGTTATATGACAATAGGAAAAAAGGGATAATTATCACTCCTGATACGGATGTATCTTAAGAAGAATGACTTTACTTAAGAAAAACTTAATTACCGGATACAGTGACTTACTTTTTATGTTATTCTGTCGTCAATTTTTCATAAATGATTCAATTGTACACTACGTATAAAAGAAAAAAAAAACAACAGTCGCGATTAATTTCTTCACCACAAATGCCATTTGAGTCTTTGTAAGTCAATTATTTATCAATAGTTTTTAACATTAAAAATTTACGGGTAGACTTCATGCCGTGAGTGATCTCTTCCAATCGGCCATATGGTGATGCAAATATGGAATATTCAATGAATATAAAATAAATCCTTTCTGAGATACGAAATTTAATGTTAAACGTTCGTCTATGAGTTATGTCAATTATATTTATGCTTACAGAAATATATGCATGCCCTAAATTAGTTATAGACAACAGAAACGAAGTAAAAAAAAATATATTTATTACTGAATTAAATTATTAAATTAAAATAACAGTATTGAAATTTATTAAATATGTGTTATAAAAATACATAATACTCAGAAATTAGATAATGTGAAAGTTTTAATTTTTTTAAATAACGAACCGTTTGGCGTGTTAAACTTCCCAAAATATAAGCTGTATCTCGAAATAATATATTTTCATTTTCCTGTTAAGATTAAAGAATATATCAAACAAAAGTATTGTTTCAACAAAGTGATTTAAAAAAAGGATATTAGTTAAAAGTATATCTTCCTTTTATTCGGGTATCTAGAGACTTCTTAGACGTAAAAAATATTAATAAAAAGTTCGGTGCATTTGGATAATGATTTAAATGACAACGTATGTGCTGAATTCAATGGACCGCTTGCAGAAGCCAACTATGTACTTACAGCAACAAAACTATCGACCACTGTGCTTCCAACGAATTCTTTGCTATTTCGGACACGTTGTTCGTAGAGCTCCCGGTAAACTAGAAAAACTTATTGACCCACTAAGATAAGATTGAACATAAAAGTTTCTTTTTGCCTAACCATGCCGGTAGCCTTGAGGGATTATGCCAGCTTCACCTTGCAAAAAACTCAGTGGGCTGTATCTGAGAGCTAATTTGCTCGTCGAACCCTTTATCGCATTCAGAGAAAAAATCATGCTGACGATCACCTACATGTTACACACAATCTAGGTAAGCCCTCTTTGGTCTGCGTGTGCATAAAATCAGGCTGAGAAAAATCTTCATAAAAACGTTTACAAGAATTGATCTAAGAAAATTTAGAATAGACAATTATTACGAAATTTATAAAAAAAAAAACGTTATTCTTAGAAGTCATATTGTAAGTAACTACATAATATATGTAGGTAAATACAATGTCTTGAAAGTCGGCTTAAACTTAATTTTAATTACGGTATCGATTTTAATTTTACAAGGATAAAAATCCGTATTTGTTTCTTAATTTACATTGAAATTGCAAAATTACTATTTGTAAGGCGTATTCTGAGCCCGCGCAACCAATGTTCGATTATAATTAATTTACTGCCACAAAGTGCTCATGCGTTTCGGGTTGTTACGCAGAAACCCGTTGTACACTGCAATTGTGACTTTAAACTCATGTGCTAAGGTGGATTAAGGCATTCACGCTGTGATATCTCTGGTCTCAGTATAACCACTTAGCACCAGCTAAATACCATATCTAATACAATAAAAGCAAATTCGGATGGCAAATAACAACACAATATATTAGCGTTGAGCTGGCATAGTTGCGAATCTAATAGACCGTTAGGCAAACCCCTAAATAGGTACTATTACGACCAAATTTCAATGAGAATTTTTCATCAACTCTATATTTCATATGGCATGTAAACATCTATAATCAAATTAGAGTTCTAGCATTTGGCTTCTTATAGTTGTCTTCACAAGTACCTACATACTTTTCAGAATTTCCGATTCATAATTCTAAGCTAAAATTGTTTACAATTAAAGCTGTCTGTGGGGACTATTCAATTTCAATGTAGGTTCATTAATGAAAAAAAAATTGTTGTTTTTAAGATTTCAAAATCTCTGCGTTTCGTTTTTTTTTTTTAATCAAGAGACCCAAATTTAATCATTTGTAGGATAAGTTAGTGGATTGTAATAACGATATCTCCGATTTTGATCTGCAGTTACGGTTATCTGATCTTAAAGGCTGCGAGCGCATATTACTGAATTATTCGTGGCCTAAAGGATAAGACGTCCGGTGTATTCGTCTTGAGCGATGCACCAATGTTCGAATTTGAAAATTGGTAACCGCTTGGAGACTACCAATTTTTCTAATGAAATACGTACTTAGCAAATGTTCACGATTTACTTCCACGGTGAATGAATACCATCGTGTAATAAAAATCAAACCCGCAAAATTACAATTTGCGTAATTACTGGTGGTAGGACCTCTTGTGAGGTACCACTACCCTGCTTATTTCTGCCGTGAAGGAGTAATGCGTTTCGGTTTGAAGGGTTAGGCAGCCGTTGTAACTCTACTGTGACCACAGATCCTAGAAATGAGACCTTAGAACTCATGTCTCAAGGTGGGTGGTGGCATTTACGTTGTAGATGTCTGTGAGCTCCGGTAACCACTTAACACCAGGTTAGCTGTGAGATTGTCCACCCAACTAGGTAATAAAAATTAAAAAAAAACTTCCATGCCTTTTTTCTATAGCAATATGAATAGCAGTATAAATGGCGACGTCTTATGAAGCGCACCATCTCCCGAACTAATGACCATGACCATTCCGCCAAGAACGCCAAATACTAAGAAAAAAAACCCAGTGGCTGATATTAACTGGTGGGTTCGACGAGAGGTTGAAGTTGGTAAATACCTAAGTGTTGGCATATATGAGATCAAAGGGAAACAAGCCTTTCTTTTGCTGCTAGTAAAACGTATTGTGAGCTAGCACGGATAAATACGACTAACTTACCCATTTCTGTGGCAAAGCAGTTATCTATTTTAGTTAGAGTTAGAAGGAACAATCATTCTACAACTCAATTGACACTTTGACAACAAATCTCGAATCGGTTCAAGGCATTCATGTTGTGATGTTTATGGTCTCCGATAACCACTAAAGACCAGGTGGGCCGTAAGCTATTACCAACTAACCCAGTCAACAGATTACAATAATTACGAACTAACGATTAAAGTGCTTTTGTGGAACAGATTTTATTAAAACAATTCATCAAACATAAAATTTACTGCTTTATTTTTATAATACTTAGACATCCAGTTAAAAATTCCAAACGTCTACTATATAATACAGTAATAATTAATTAATAATAAATAGTGCTATTACAGTAATTAAAAAAAAAACATTCAACAATATTTACACTCTTAAAATTATGTAACGCACAGGAATTCCGCAAATGATTAGAACTAAAACGATATAATATAATAATTCTAAAAATAATTGAATACCCAAAAATTCTTTGAAAATTTAAAAAAAAAGGAATGTTTAGAAAATATATTTTAATGGAATGTGTGATATGTTGAACAATAAATATCAAGTTACAAAACAATAATTATCTAAATGTATTACAATACAAATTACCGATGGAACTGACATGAAATTAATCGGTTTAGGAACTCTTCATAACAAATATTCATTGTATGTAACTTAAATACTTTGGTATACTATATCCAAACTATACTGTTGATGAAATAATAACAATCAACAATTAATAATAAAAGCCTTGAATCACAGTGAGCAGTGTGCACATTTTAAGTAATTAATTTCATCAACAAACGATTTTTACAATGTTTGCAAAACTATTTTGCCTAGCAGCATTATAAGTTTGACGTGTTGAGAATGTGGACTTACAAATTTATTAATTTCCTTTTAAAATCGAGTAAAGTTTTAGCGATCATGCTTAGTGAGCTGTAGAGGTATATCGTTAGAGACTGGCGGTCGATGCCGGTTCGGACTCGGAGATCTAGTTAAACTCTTATTCTTGCCACCATCGTCATCGCTTTCATCGTGTACATTTATCTCTTCGTCTGAGTCGGAATGAGATTCGTATCCCCGAGCTAATTGTATGGATTGTGCCGCCAAGAGTGCGGCGGCTGCCGAGTGCGGTACAAGCGCTTTGAACGCGCTGCTTTCCAACGCGGGATGAGGCTTGAACGTGCCGTCGAAGGCGGACTGTTGCGACAATGCTTTCAGCGCGTTACTATCGAATTGCGTTTGATGTGACANTATCTCTTCGTCTGAGTCGGAATGAGATTCGTATCCCCGAGCTAATTGTATGGATTGTGCCGCCAAGAGTGCGGCGGCTGCCGAGTGCGGTACAAGCGCTTTGAACGCGCTGCTTTCCAACGCGGGATGAGGCTTGAACGTGCCGTCGAAGGCGGACTGTTGCGACAATGCTTTCAGCGCGTTACTATCGAATTGCGTTTGATGTGACAGTGCCTTGAGAGCGTTTGTATCTTGATGCGAGAGCGCTTTGAATGCGCTGTTCTCGCCGCCCATCTGCGGGGGGAAGGGTCCGCGCGGAGGGGACAGAGAACGAGAAGGGGAGCGCGAAGGAGAGCGGGCGGGGTGGCGGGGGGAGGAGCCGCCACCGCGCTTCAGGAGGTTCATGCGCTGGTGGCGCCTCCACTTTGCTCGTCTGTTGGAAAACCAAACCTGTCAGTAACGGTAAATAAACCAGATTAGTTACATGTTTTCAATTAATCCAAAGTATCAATAAGAATTTTGAAAAAGCATTACTAGGATTAAGCACAAGTGCACATAATCTTCTAAAGATTAATATCACAAACATTGATGTTTACCTGAACCCGTGCTTCCGATAACGACGTTTTCGAAGCCAGTCGTTCTCGCGTTGAAACGCAAGGATAATGTGACTTTTCGAACTCTTTTTCTAACTCTTCTAATTGGTCTTGACTGAAAGTCGTACGATTTCTCCTAAACTTTGGCTGTTCACCATCAAGAGACCCTGAATCGTCTCCGTCCACATCTGTAAAGCACCAAAGGCGTATTAAGACATTAAAACAAGCTGTTTAATGTGATATTTTGTCATATTTAAAGATTATATTTCAATTACCTATAAGCCCTCGTCCTGAGGACAAATATCCTTGTTGTACAACGTCAGGGTGCGGTACTCCGGTTGGTGGCCCTGGTACTCCGGGTGGAAGTGACAGAGTCCCAGGAGGCCACACACCTCCGCCACCAGCCCACGGAAATGCTCCATACGGAGGTGGGGCAGCGTAAAGCCCATAGCCCGCTGCTCTGGCGAATTCAGCGGCAGCTCGTTCGGCTGCCCGGTTCCTTAGTATTCTGTTAATTGATGAGACGCTCGGCGCAGTTGCGTTTGTGCAAACACCTACGGCAATAATAATGGAATTTTAATTTTCGAAGGGGATAGGGCAAGTCGTTGTGGCCAAAAGGATAAGCCGTCCGATGCATTCGTGTTGAGCGATGCATCGGTGTTCGAAACCCAGGCGGGTACCAATTTTTCTAATGAAAATATGTACTCAAAAAATGTTCACGATTGATCTCCACGGTGAAGGAATAACATCGTGTAATAAAAATCAACCCCGCAAAATTATAATGTGCGTAATTACTGGTAGTAGGACCTCTTGTGAGTCCGCGCGGGTAGGTACCACCACCCTGCCTGTTTCTGCCGTGAAGCAGTAATGCATTTCGGTTTGAAGGGTGGGGCAGCCGTTGTAACTATACTGAGACCTTAGAACTTATATCTCAAGGTGGGTGGCGCATTTACGTTGTAGATGTCTATGGGCTCCAGTAACCACTAAACACCAGATGGACCGTGAGTTCGTCCACCCATCTAAGCAATAAAAAAAAACGGCCCGCGGGCCGCATGCGGCCTGCGGCGTATGTTTTAATCAGAAAATAGTTTTGGATATAAATAGTTTACATAACAGAATTCTTTGACAATATTTGTCAATATTTGGTATAATTTATCTTTATTCTTGTAACATTCCATTCCCATGACATCATTTGAAAATGAAGCTCTCCTTTACTATTATTGAGGGAATTCCCGGATAGTATTTTGTTTTTGAAAATATATTTTTCAGCGGCCCTCCAGCTTTGGAAGTTAATTTAATTAAAGCGCAAAGCGTACATTAGGGGTAAGCCCCACGCTGTTTTTCCACTACCCCGTTGGAGCCGAGTTAGCCCCTACTACCAAGATCAGCTGAACTCATCCAAGATCTATCTATACACAGTTTTATTGCATTCAATTAATCTCTGAAATATAATAAATAAACATAAGGCTTGGAGAGAGTCGCATCAGTTTTAGTTTTTAGCATAGGGATAGAAAAAGTTCAAAAAATTTACTATTTCACATTACTTTAATTAAAAATGTCCTAAATAATTTTCAAATCACTTTTTACTTAATAGTGATATCGAGAATGTGCACAAAATATATGGAAGTGCGCGTTAAAACCAATGCGTCATTTTAAATCGGTGGTCATTATAATACATTTAATGCGTGCAGTCGGATCGCGTGCCAGCGCAGCCTTGAAGAACCATCCCATGCAATTTTCAGGAAATACTACAAATAAGTACCATAATTTAATCATAGTCTGCCCGAGAATAATTGTCGTTGAATTCGTCGAGCTACTGGGCAACTAAACTCGACGATCTTGCTAGACAGACTTTTAATGATATATCTATACTAATATTATAAAGAGGAAAGATTTGTTTGTTTGTTTGTATTGAATAGACTCCGAAACTACTGAACCGATTTGAAAAATTCTTTCACTGTTTGGAAGCTACACTATTCCCGAGTGACATAGGCAGTAATGTTTTTTGAAAAAAATTAGGGATCCTTACTAAATCTCGCAAAAATGTAACCCAAGATATAAAAAAATTACCTAAATATTCTTTACATCGCGTGCCCTGCGAAAACTATTAATGATAGAATCAAATAATGTACTACGACTTTGTAGAACAGATTATTATTTACAAAAAGTGTCACGACAGCATATGTCTAACTATTATAGTTATGCCGCAAAAGTGTTCTTTTATTTAAATAAATAAAACAACTTCAAATAGCGTAGAAATTTTTGTTAAAGACCCGAGCGGGGCCGGAGCGGGCCCCTAGTAATTATTATAAAATAATTCCGCAATTTATTGGCCTCATTAAAATATTATTTTACTACTGATTTTGGTCAATAACGACAGACTGTAGCTATAAAGAAATATAATAGATTATTTAGTGAAAAAATATTTGCTGAGGTACATTGCAATACATTTTTTTTTTAAAGCGCAATTTAATTAATGCTGACAAAAGAGCCACCATCAATTGCCTCAGTAAATACTTTAGTGGAATCAATAGTCCTATTAGCGACACTACATTCATCGTCTTGAATGTTCAAAAGCAAATTGCTTGTATTTACCCCGACAAGATCCATTCCGTTTCAAAGCATGTCATTTGTTTTATGCTGGCTTCGGACAATTATTGTCAGAACAATAATTCAATATAATTGCTTAATAGAAGCTCTTTACACGTAGCACGCATAAATATTTCCGTGTATCGTTCTAGTTAAGAAAATTGCGATTTAATTCGAAAATAAGGTCAAGTATTGTTTATCATAAGACCCCCATAATAAATAAAACTGAAAGGCTCTAAATATATTTTTGACTAACGGCCCGCACCGGCTCCGCTCAGGTCTTTAACAAAAACTTCAATGATATTTGACGTTGTTTTATTTTTTTTAAATAAAAGAACACTTATTGCGGCATAATAATAATGGTTAGACTTTTCGTAAAAACTTTTTGTTCTAAGTCGTAGTCCATTTTCTATCATCAATAGTTTTCGCAGGGCACGCGATGTAAAGAATATTTTAGGTAATTTTTTTTTACACCTTGGGTTACATTATTGGAGTTTTAGTAAGGATCCCTGATTTTTTTCAAAAAAGATTATAGTCTATGCCACTCGGGAATACTGTAGCTTCCAAACAGTGCAAGAATTTTTCTAATCGGTTCAGAGTAATTTCGGAGCCTATTCAATACAAACAAACACACAAATCTTTCCTTTTTATAATATTAGTTTTAGTATAGATAATACAAAATACAAATAATACATTATACACAGTAATACAAACAAAAATTGTTGAGACCATCGCGATTTTGAGGCTCAATTTAATGCGGTCACCGTTGGTAATGGAGTCCCATTGAGAGAAGTCGGAACGCGCGTCGACGCGAGCAATGTCTGACGTGTCGAATAAAACACAAAACGGTGCTGTTATAATTTACTCAAAACACAAAGCCTTATACAGCATAATGGTAATGATCAGTTTCGAGGCACCACTCATTGTTAACTTGTCTAAAATTACAAAACGTTACCCTCCATACAATTTGTTTGCCTCATAATCAGTGCGTTAAGATGATGCCTCGATAGAATCGCCTTCTACACCAGAATTGACGTCAAAAGCTTGATGTGCCTGAGAATAGAATAATGGTGACTAGTCATCATTTACCGGCCAAAATCTCTAATTATAATGGCAGCTACTTTATTATTATTATTCTTTAAATAAAACAAACCGTTAAAAATCTGTTAACGTTTTGTGGGAGCTCACCGACGCGTCTCCGCTAGTTAATGTACCACGTCTTCTGTTCTCATAGACCACAAAAACTTTCAATGATCTTAAACAGAACGGTTAAATTGGTTTTTGTCTTTTAACAAGCATACCGGGAGGTATCGAGTACGCCGATCTACATAAATACGCGATGTTTTTCCATTTTTAGATACCTACTAGAGGTCCCGCAGTAGTCGAAATTCGACTATAACTAATTGGAATTATAAGTTTGTACACTATTATGATTGTATTTTATACTTCTATAATCACAAGTTTCGCCAAGACTACACTATAAAAAATATTAACAAAGACAAACAATATTTAATCTATTCTCAATTTGACAACAGACATCAAGAACAAAAGTTTGACAATAAATAGTATGCATGCGTGTGTGCGTCAAATACATGGTATGTAGTGTGTGTAATGTTTTCTTTATTGATTTCATGTATCTTTTATGCATTATTTTAAAAAAATATTAGCATTGTGCACTTCTTCTCTATATTCTTTATAAGTGTGGAAAATTTCATACTCCTCTGTCCGCGCAATTTTTGTAAAAAGGGATTCAAAGTTTTTGCTTCACGTATTAATATATAGATAATAGGCTCAGTTTTAATATTTTCGTAGTTCACAAAAACAAATCTGATGTTCAAATTATATTTTACCTGATGTATGGATCTCCTGAGTTTCAATTGAGAACAGTTTGCAATATTTGAAGACTTAATGAAACCATTTCAATACGTCTGCGTTACAGAACAATGAAGATAGTCAACACATAACATCGCCATTGATTGCTTCATGTTTTTTTTTATTATTCTATATGCTGCGTACGTACGTCACTTTAACATTAATTGAGGTGCGATCAATGGGTATAGTTTTACTATTTGTTTAGAGAGAGATCATTATCCACCAACAGGTTGCAGGTGGGAATGCGATATCTATAATTGTTCTTTTAATGATTTGGGATCGAGCTCGGCTGCTTACATGCCTAGTCATGGTCATGCAATTTGTCTAAAGCCGTTTAATCATGATTAGTCACAATGGAGTCCGCTTCTATTAAACGGGTAGAAACATTTAAGAGCTGTTTCGTTTTGTTCGTGTTTTTAGTTTTTTTTCTTCTTCCAAATATGCCATTTCATATGTCATTGGTTATGCCATAGTTTGAAGTGGGCGATAGACGTATTAGAGATTGACAGAAAAAAAAAACTAGTGATTGAGCGGCTGATTTGACGATCGCACCCTTAAACAGAAACTAAAGAGGGCACCCCGACTTTAAATTTTATCAAACAACACCTCAGTTAATACGATCCACAAGCTATAGTCTTACAATTGGTATAACACTGCCTAAACCTTTGTCGTAACAAGTTAACACTTTACAAAACTTGCATACGTTCCGTCATGACCTATGCAAGTGTGGTAATCCTACGTTTGTTGTTGTCATTATATGTATTACCTAATTATTTCCGAAGTTTCGCCAGAATTCCTTCGTGGCACGAAAAATATAAAAAATTCGTAAAAATTAACAGTAAAATTGGTTTTATTTATTTCTACGACTCACGAAAACCGAAATAGCCTTTGTTTTGTTGGATGCATTTTTGCTGCAGAGGCAGATTACTGATTTGCTGCAGAAATAGACAAGGTACTCATACCTCCAACCACGATGTGGGCATCGACAGGTGGCGCTCTCCGCGGCCCGTGAAACCACAGAGCCTCGGATTTACTGAGCAATACTGACAGACCCTAGACTAGGATGTTATTGTTCGTAATTTATATTATATTT